TGCGTGGAATTGCTTTAGCATTAGGTGGATCCCCATACGAATTTGAGGGGGATAGAGCTGGAAATTCATTTTGGGTCATGCGTCTTATCGGTTATCCCGGGGTCTCTTCTTTGAAGGCTTCTGATATCTCAGAAACTGACATTGGATGGTAATTTACAGACTTGGTGGTTTCTGTACTTGTAATATTTCTGGCTCTAATATTTTGTGTTTCTTTGGCTCCCGCTCTTCCTACCATCCCTCTGTTTTCAACTTTTCATCGTCAAACAACATCCAGCGGGGCTCACACTGACTATGGTAAAAAGGAAAAGTGTCTTTTAGATCATGAATAAGTAGAAAGAATCGTTTAACCAAATACTAAACATCGGTCATTGATAGGTCTATTGACATTGGTTAATCAGGATGATGGTATTACTGCACTTCAGGTAAAGGTTAAAACAATTTTTTATGATTGTTGCTTCTTTTCCTTCCACCATATCTTTCTGCTTGAGTTTTGTGCTTCACAAACTGATGGATGAGTTGGTGGAAGGTGAGAAACTTGTCTGGAGAATGGATATCAGCTCCACCAATTCCTGGAACTTTTGTTTGTAACATCGGTGACATGCTCAAGGTACATTCTCATTTCGGAATATCTTACTTTAAATTAGTTGATTATTTTTGTCGATAAACTTTTGGGAACTTGTAGATCTACTCGAATGGGCTGTACGAGTCGACTTTACATCGAGTTATCAACAAAGCTCCAAAGTATAGAGTTTGTGTAGCATATTTCTATGAGGTCTCACTCTCTTTCTCTGCTAACCACTAATCTCTCTCTCTCTCTGTTATCCATTAATGGCTATCAATTTTGCTGTTGTTTGTAAGAACAGACTAATTTCGACACAGTCGTAGAACCGTTGGAAATTTGCAAGCAGAGAACAGGTGAAGAATCAAAGTTCAAGAGAGCTATCTATGGGGAACATCTGGTTAGCAAAGTCCTCACCAATTTCGTTTGACATTTCAAAATTGTAATCCTGTGATCTGCTGTCTTTGTATTTACATTTCAGTTTATTTGTGTTGAGATGAGTTTGTAATTGATTTGTGTTGTCGAGTTTCATTTATGTATTTTAACATAGTTCAACTAGTTAAGGCATATATTCTCGAACAAAATGTCAGAAGTTTAAATCCATCTTCACACGCAAACAACAAGGTGGGCTGAGATTTCTTTCTCATGATTCTAGCCGTGTAATTCTAGTAGTGGATCCGACTATTATTAAACTAAAAAAAATATTTATGGTCCAATTGGATAACATTCATATTTTTCTTTTTTAGACCTTATTCTTATATTGAAAAAAAAGCTTTTGATGATAATCTCTGATTTTGATTTTTTTTTCTTTTTTTAAGAAACGATGTCAAATCAAATTGTGTATGCTTTCAAAATACAAGATGGGGTTAGAGTGTTCAAGCCAAAATTTCATTTGGAAAAAAAAAACATTTATAGCTTTTGTAAAATATGTCGTACAAAGTGAAAATATGAGAAATAGTGTTGATGTTTTGATGATTATAGTATTTGAGCCAAAAAGTACTTTCCGAAGTATTTTAGACCAGAGACTCRGTCAAATATTTACCCCTTTAAAAGCACTTTTCATGATAAAAAAGTGTTTTCAATGCTTTCAAATATTGTTTTCGTTCTTTTAAAAAATAAGTAACAAATAATTTAAATGCATTTTTATACCTCTGAGAATCATCCGACTAACATTAGAGAAAACTTGTGTTCAATATAAATCCAATTAATGGAACACTTCTTAAATCCTTCATATTATTTTACAAGTCTATCTACTCATATTTTTTTTGTAAGTTCTCTCAAAGTCGAGCACTAATCATAGAATTCGACTTCTCATTTAGAATCCACGGTGAGAGGAAACTGTCTTAGCTATTACTAAATTGAGAGGGCTTAAAACTCTATTCTTTTTGTCGAAGTCACTCATTCAAACCTCCCGCCCTCTCCAGTCCGGCTCCTGGCTCACTAAAGTTTTCCAAGCCAACAATCAAGCATCCATAATCATACCATTGTTGATATGGAATGACCAGCTGGGCTCAGGGGTCCCTAATAAATCTCATACCAAAATTAGACATGCCCAAGTTCCATTCTAATATGGTCTCATTTCAGTTCGAGCTCTAATAGTAGGGTGGTGTGATGTTTTCAGAAAAGATTGACCTCGAACGATAAGGAGAAATACGTGGGTAACTTTGAGTTCAAGTTTAGTTAAAAAGCACTACTAACAACTAGAAAATCAAAACGCGAAACGTTTATGCCAGAGAAATATAAACAAGATGAAAATGGAATAATAATCTGAGATAAACCAAACGGTACTGTTGACACTCTATTTCTTCCCTAATAAAATCAATTGGTCAACAAATTTGCAGCTATAGTTGCAAAATCTTCTCTTCGTTGAAGAATGAAAATTTTCATCTGGAAATTAATGGTACAACAACATAATGAATCTAATTTTCCCAAAGAATCTATAATTTAAGACCAGTAAGAGTAAGCCTATTAATCAGCTTAATTCAACAAGCTATCAAATCAACCGTTGGATGAAATTTCAGATGCAGGAGAATCCTTGAGATAAAGAGGAATTTTTACCTGCAACTCTCTAAGCCGGTCCACCATAATGTAAAGAAATTCAAAGGTGAGCTTGAATTGTGCATTGAAATCTTCTCTGACATGTGGATGAATCTTGAACCAATCTCCCAACATCTTGTGTACATGCGAACGGATTATTCTCCACGGAACAGGGTACTGTTCACAAAGCTTCAAGTACTCCACCAGCAGCGCAGCTTGATCCAGGTTTCCATCTCTGCAATTTTCGTCACAGCCCTCTACCCATTCAGCAGTTCGAAACCCAGCAAAAAGTGCAGGATTCTCAAGAAGGGTTTCTGCTGAAAGAACACCCTCGACCCCAGTCTCTTGCAAACAGTTGTTAACATCTTCCATGTGCCTTATATTCCCATTGGCAAGAACTGGAATTTGTACAGCGTTTTTAACAGCACTGATGGCACTCCAGTTAGCACGGAATTTCTTACCGTCTTTTTCATCTCTTGTGCGACCATGGACAGCTAGAAGAGAGCAACCAGCATCCTCTAACATTCTTGCATAATTAAGGGTATCCTGTAAGTTAGGGAAGATTCGGATTTTGCATGATACAGGAACCTGAAGATTGGATGACAACTTCTGCACTATTGCTTTTACAAGAGGTAAGTTATCCATTAAAAAAGCCCCATAATTTCCTCGCCTTGCAATTCGCTGAGGACACCTGCATCAAATTAGTAAAGCCATAAGCAAAAGTTATAGACACCAGGACATATTTGTAACAACACATGCCTCACAAGTCACACAGGAAATTGGAATACCTTAATGTTGGTTTTGTTAGTTTCAGACAGATGATTGACAAGGAGAACAATGCAGAAAATTGCACAAAAGGAATAAAATAAGCTGCAGGAATTTCTTCAAGAAGCGTTTTCCAATTTAATTCATAGATTAGTTAGATTAGAAGTTATATTTATGTAAAAGCAAATTTAATCATACTCAGGGTCTTTAGTGTAATGAAATCTTAATTTTATTAGACTCCCAACAAAAGGTATGGCATAGCAGCCTTTTAGAGCGAAACCCACATTATGTGGTAAAGGGAGAAAATCAGGGGAAGCAGTTAGTGGAGACCCCATCCTGATTCGATTTCTACGTTCTAGCTTAAGTCTAATAAATTTATTAAGCATGAAACAGATAACTCAGTTTTAGTGATAGAGACAAGTAACATTGGATATGTGTTCTTCTTTTACTTATTGAATACATTCAAAGTTTTATTTATTGGTCTTTAACAATTCCTTTCAATTTTTCGAGATATTTATCAACGATGAAATTTCCATGATTCTATAAATGCAAAATATCAACAACATCAGTATTTGCTTCCTTGCTCTTGTGTAGTGATTTGAGAGCACTAAAAAGATACAGGAGGGGAAAGCCTCTCAAACCAAGGAAGCTTATAGAAAGGAACTTAAAAAATTCATCAAGTCTCCATGAATCTCATCGAAAATTCTTCTATTCATGTCCTTACAGAGCTTCCAAAGGTCTGTTACGATAAAATTTTCCAAAGATTCAACTTACCTCGAAGAAGTTTTTAGTTGGTCAAGGATGACTCTAGTTAATTAAGCTGTTCAATTTATCCCAGAAGTTTTATATTCAAAATCATTTTGCAGAAGAGGTTAAATTCCTTCAAACTAAAACCAAATTAACAAGTTACTCAGCTTCCCTCCCGTGCTACGATTCTTTAGAAATTCCTCATCTTCTTCCACATTCAATGTAACTTTCCTTGGTAATAGGAATGCTGACATTAAATAAGTTGGCAAGCTTCCTCAAATTGGAGTAGACAAAGACAATTGTCCACCCTTAACACAGGCACAAGACTTTCCACTCTTTCTCACGAATCTTTTTTCAATTTTCTCTCCGAAACTGCAGTTTTCTAGGATCTTCAACCAAGAGCATGCCTAAGTATGACACCAACCAAGAGCATGGAATGATAGAAATTTCTTACCATTTACCACAAAGAATATATGCTCCTTGCAGAAAAACAGGGAGAGTATATGTGTCTAGACTCAATACGGTAACCTCACTGCAACTATGCTAGACTAATAATATCACCGGAACGTTGATATGCCTGAACTTCAAACCAATTGCAAACAAATTCCAACCCAATGGATTTCAGGCTATCCCACTTAGTATGGAAAATGTCGCTCAACAAAATTTTAAGTTCGCAATCCATAATTGATGTTAGTTCATGCATGATCCTTGTGTCATTAGTTAACATGCAGAACCAAGATAAAGCAAAACACTCAATTATAGCGCTAAGTTAACAAGAGAGCAATTTTCCAGTATCAGCTCTCAGAGAAAAAAAATTAACAGGACTTAAGAAACATGTAAGGTTTTATGAACACAAAAACAGTAGCCACTTTCAATTGATGAAGCAAATCCAGTTTCAATTGTAAGTACTCCAGAACAGTTTCCAGTTCCACAATCATAACCAAAAGAAATCTTTAGGAAAATCAGTTCTTAGTTCACCAACCCACGAGAAGCACAGCAGGTCAGAAATATAAGTGTTACCATTTGGGATATAGTATCATAAAGAATGAAAATATTCCTAGGAATTGTCCCACAGTTGAATCGGAGAGAGGATTATAGAAATAAATTACCCTAAGTTAAGATCGACGTAATCACAATATGGCTCCACTCTTCTAGCAGCTTCCAACAAAACATCGGGATCATTGGCACAAAATTGAACAAATAATGGGCGGTCCTCCTACAAATCATTCCAAAGTTAAAAACAATGAAGAATAAATTTAAGGATGATAACATAAAATTAGCTTCTGATCCACCATAAGCAGCCGGAAACAAACATCAATACCAAATGAAGACGAAAATTCAAGTAGTTAACACATAAGAACGATTTTTATATGCACCTGACAAGTGGTAAATTCCATGTTCCGATACTTCTCGTTCTCGGTAAAGATCCGCGAATGTAGCATTGGCGTATACGCCGCCTCGGCACCATATTTCCTGCAGAGCAAACGGAACGGTAGCTCGGAATTATCAACCATCGGAGCCACAATCAACTTCGGCCGGCCGAGCTTCGACCAGTGAGCCCAGGCTCGCTCTATGCGCGAGTCGCCACTCAAATATCCATTCGGCGACCCCAAGAGAAGCGATGGCTCATCGGATTTTGTGACAGATGAGCATTCCTCTCGTTGTTGCTGCTGTTGATTGGAGCATAGAAGGTCATCGAGGTGTTCAGGTAAATCTGGTTTAATGGTTTGTGAGAAAGAGGAAGCCATGAGAGAGCTATGGAGAGAGAATACAGATTTGAGATGGAGATGAGAAATGGCAAGCGATCTCATAACCCAACGATGACGATGGTCGCGCAGCCCATCGCCGCCGCCGCCGCCGCCGGCTCCGATGAGGATTGCCCTTAGGAATCACGCAGCAAAAGATTCTATTTTGGGGTTTAAGGATTAGGATTGGGGTTTTTCACGAAAATGCGACTCCTCCTTGCCTTCCTCCTTACGCTCCACCCTAGATTTTCTTAGGGATGTCCTTTCGTAAAAATTTGATCTTTATCTTAAAAAAATTTGGATAAATGGGACGGGAAAGCCTTTTATACAATATTTGTTTTCTAGGTTAACGTTGACATCACCTCTTTGCTAATTTTTTAGATTTCTCTCATTCTCTTTTATTTTCGTTCATTTTTTCTCAAAACATCAATACAACTGGGTTTTCTCTAAAAATAGGAGTTTATCCATTTAATATTTCCTCTCTCCCCCTCCAATCTCACTCCCTCTTGCTCTCCACCTCTCTCACTCCCTCTTGTTGTTTGCCTCTCGCTCGCTTTGATCGCTGCCGCCCGACTATCCTTTTCGATCTTGTTCTGAGTAACTGAGCGAGAGTGAGATCCAACCATCAAGAGCAAGAGCAAGATCTGATAGTCTAGAGCGAGAGCGAGAGCGAGAGCCAGATCCGACCGTCAAGAGCAAGATCCTACCGTCGAGAGCGGGAGCGAGATCTAATCGAAAGCGAGAGCGCTACTCCAATAATTAACCAACCTTGTTTTCCTTTTATGGGCCGGCGACAGCTTCGTCAGAGTATTTGATTTTTTTTTTTTGAAATCAAACTCTTAGATAGTATTTCATCGTCGAGATCTTTACCATTCAACTGCCTCTAAATTTCCATATCATGCGCCTCTGTATCAAGGTAAGTTTGGAGACCGGAGACGTTAGAGGTTGATTTTGGGACATTTATGTAAGTTTGGAGAAATTATGAAGACTCTTATTTATATCAAAATTGAATTATGAAAATAATATGTGCACATAAATTTAATTATTAAGAACGGAAGAAATATGGAAGAATAGGGAGAAGAGAAGACAAAAAATAGAAGAAAGCAACGAGGGGGAGAGAGTAAGGTCAAATGAGTAGAGGAGTAGTAAAAGTAATTTGGTATCCAATATGATGTCAAGAATGATTTAAAAACATAAGTTTTGAAAATGGTGGGTAAAAAACAATATTGTCTTGTCTTGGTAGAGTGCCTATTCAGCTCAAAATTCCAAAATTTTGTCCCTATTTACCATATTTTAGTTTTAATCCATGGCGGATCTAAAATTTATCACAAACAATTCATTTCTAAACTGTCCACTTCTTTATATTTTACAAAATTCTTAAATTAAAAATTATATATAAAAAAAGAATCGAATTTTGAAAATTTGACGATTTATAGAGAACGAAAAAAAATATTGGTGTTGATGCAGGATTCTACTGAGCTAAGTCATGTGGTCACGAGGGACCTGCAAAAGAAACAAACACTCTCACACTTGAGTTAGTAGAGACGTGAGTTGGTATGTCGTTCTCAGAGCAGAATTGTGTATTTGAGTGAAGAGGCGGAATGTTCATTTTATAGAGGGACAAGTGTCGTTGGAACCGCTCCGATCTGTAGTTGCGGCTATCGAGCCCCCAATTAGGCTTGCAAGTTGTTGTCGAATTTGAGGTTGGAGCCTTCATGTCGGTCGAAGAGAACTTGGGCGATTCTTCGTTTTAATTTTGGTCCTTAGCTCGGCCTTGAGTGTAGGTCTATCTTCTCCGGATCTACGCCGTATATCAACAGATTATGGTTTTGAGGGTCATCCGTTACGAAAAGATTTTCCTTTGGGTAGGTCTTTCACTCTTTTTTTTTTTTACGTCCGGGCTGATGTGTGATTGGTCAAGGCGACCGAGAGAACACATACCTCCTCCATATTCCAACAATGGGCAAGACTCAGATTTTCTTTCTTTTTGACCTTGTTTTCCAAAGGTAGCTGAAATCTTCATTTTTTTCTAAAAGTCGACGCTAAGGAGCTGACAACTGAAAGAAAAGTCGAATAGGAAAGACTTGGTATATAATCTGTGTCTTCCGATTCTGATTATGAATGTCGTAGAACTATTGCATCAGTGATTGGTCCATCTGTCTTTGTTGTATTTATTCTCCAACCATGGCTACAATAATTTATGGAAAAAATATTACCTATGTATAATAACAATGTATAAATTAAAAAGAAATTAAAATTTTAAATTGACAACAACAATTAGGCCAAAAAGAATGAAAAATGTGTATATATTTATAAAAAGTAAATAATCCCTTAAAATTTATGTTCAAATTATAAGTTGCTGCAGCACCATTTAAAAATAATTGTTACTAATAATAATTTAACAAAAAAATTTATCTAATTTTTTAATTTGACACTTGACCTATGGCTTAAAATATTTATTTTTGTACAGATATCTACTTATTAGATAAATGAATAAAATGGCTAACTACGTAAGGTTTTGGTTGAATAATTAAAAATATCCATGATAAGAATTACCACAACGATTGACGATCCTCTGCCAATTTATGTATAACTTAATTAGTTAAGGTATCAATGATCTAATTCTTGATTAGAGGTTTGAATTTCCACCTTCACTCCTTGTTAAACTTAAAAGTAAAACTTAGGAGTCAAAAGAATCGACCTTTTCTAAATCAATAGAGATTTTTGAGATATTTGGTACATGGCAAACTCTTTTTAACCTTAGGAGTTTGAACATGTTTCTTGTTAGGCCTAAAACCTTATTGAGTTTACTTTGTGAGTTTTCTTAAGGCTTGGTTGCGAAACATGAAAGGTTTTGAAAGAAGAAGATGAAGATGGAGAAGAAGGGAAGAGAGAGAAAGATATTTTGAATAAAATTAAATAAGAAATAAAAAGGAAAAGAAAAAGGTGTAATAGTGTGAAGTTGAGAGGAGGAAAAATTGAATTGTGTTTGTGGGTCACATGTGTAAGGTGATAAGAAAAGAAGAGGTGATCGGTTTTTAATGAAGAAACAGAAGGGATTACAAAATTGGATTTATGGGATAATTTGAAAATAATGTGATTTATATTGGAAATAAGATTACCTTAGAATTTAGATTTGGAATTAAGTGAGAATTAAATTGGTATTAAATTGATATTTCAGGTTAAGCGGAATTTGGAACAGCGTACGATCGGGTTTGAAGGATTTGTGAGTGGTTATTTTATTAAACGTTTTGATATTATTATTGGAATTTGTAAGTAGTTTATTTTAGAAATGTTTTTAGAAATATATTATGATAGAATTTCAAGAAAGTATATATATTAGGTATGTTTTAGCATCTCTACTGAGAAATTGTGTTTGTTGAGAATGTAGAAATGTTTTGAGAATTTATGAATGTTTCTGAGAATTTAGAAAATAACTCTGGTTGTTTGAGATTTTAGTGATGCTTAGAATTTGGAGAAATGCTTTATGATTTAGAGAAATGTTTGAGAAAAGTTATGAAATGTTATTCAGAAAGAGATTTCGTAAAATGATTTTAGAATTTCATGGAATGTGTTAGAAAGAAATATTTCATAAATAATTTGAGAAAGTTAGAAAGAAATATTTTAAAAGTGGTTTGAGAAAGAAAATACGTAGAAAGAAAAAGAGAAGAATTTTAGAACAATTTATGAGAATAGTTTTCAAACCACCATGATACAGGTGATTATCCGTATGCTATATGAATGTGTTTCTATAGTATACCTAGAAATGGAAGGTCTTTGGGACCATTTTACAGAATTATTCTGCTATGCGTACTGAAATTACTCTATGCTAGTAGACTAGAATTATTCTGCTGTGTGTATTGAGATTACTCTACGTCAGTAAACCAGAATAGAATATGGATACATGTGTGGTGTTTAGTTTTATCTATATGTTTTATGTTTGAAAGAAGAATGTTTTATATGTTTTAGAATGTATTTTATAGCAGGTTGAGAAGTTGGCGTAACTAGGTCGCAGGGGATGCAGGGGAATGTCAGAGCGATTAGGGCTAAATCCGGATTCTGAATCCTGGTCCGAATCCTGAACTTGGGAGTGGTGTCTTTTCCGTTTGCGTAGAAAGAAAAGTGTTGTTACAAGTTTGATTTTGATAAGTTTACCGAGTTTTATGAAATGTATAATGTTGCTCCAGTTTTACTCGAGTTTTATGGAGATTTAAATGAGAAAGTTTGTTGCTCCAGTTTTATGAAATTTGTTTAAAGAACTGAATGTCGGTTGTTTATGAAAGAAAGTTGACGAAGTTATTTTCTTATTAACTTATCACTCACTGAGCTTCCCAACTTACTGTTTATGTTTTGTTTTTTCTCCCAGGCTGTACCTGAGTATGTGAGTTTTTGAGTTTCAAGAAGAATTTAGTTCAGCTTTTGCCACCCAGAGTAGTTGAGAATTTGCATATCACTTTATACTACATGTAGCTATTGTAAAGTTGTTATCACCATTTTGATAGAAGAGAATGTTTATAATGGATGTCAGTTTGATGATTTTGTAAAAGTTATTATTTTATTATGCATCCAGTCATGAGTTTTGTTAATCCAAGTTCAGGTCAAAGATAAGAAGAAGTTGACCATTGACTTCGTAGTTAGTCTGGGTCCATGGTCGGCACGACTCGTTCTAGGACTAGTAGGTGTTTTGGGACGGGTCGTGTCACTTATATACATTGGGTAGTACATTCATTTGAAGAATAATTTGCTGATATGTTTCATGTGAATTTTAAAAACATCTACTAGAGTGTGACATATTGAGAACGCGTCATCATTTCTTCAATTAGGGCTCTTTCTGTGTAGGATAGTTCAATGTTCAAGCCAAATGGATCGAATGATGAGATTAAGTTTATCTCGAGCATTTTATTGTGGAACTCTTTCTGCATCCATTAGTTGGGATTTTCATCGTGACACTCGCCTGATTGATATTAAGTCTATCATTTAACTCCGACAACTTTTACAGGAGTATCAACATGTCAACTAGATTAATCTACCATGGTCTAGTCGAAGATTGTGTTTAAATGGGCCGGCATAACACTAATACTTACATGGTTTAATTGAGGATTTTAGATGGGCTGGTTGAACATTATGTCTAAGTGTGTTGATGTCTTTTTCCTAGTTGGATGGACCAACATGTGATAGCCAACTATGTTAAAATCTATTGTTAAAGTATAGTGACCTAAGAAATGAGAAGAATACATTTGATATGTCCAACCAGTACCAATTTAATGGTCAAAACTACTTTAATATTTAAGTTAAAAGTAAGTAATTAATTTTAGAGGAGATGAGTATGTAAGGAATTCTAAATTCTAATTTAACTTTTAGTGAGAGAGTGGGGAGAACTGTGGTTGTCTCATCCTTGCAAGTATTATGACATCGACTTTGTTAACTTGAGATTCTTTTCTAAGATTTGCATCAAATGCGTTGATAATTTCTCCCGATGACTTTAAAAAGAATGTTATGCGCATGGTTAGGCAAGGCTCCCAACTTGACCTAAAAAAAGTTATGAATTGCAAGATTTGACGCATCCTCTTTATTTGAATAGGTGTACACGTTGACTGGCTCAAACTTATAATTTTAACCATGTTTATTTGTCTCGTGATCACATGAGGGTCAAAGAGACTCTCAAAAAATTAAATATAAATGATTCTACCAATAAGGGTTCAGCCCATAAACTTCACTAAAAGTTAAACAGATTTTAGAAGTTGGCTTTTAAAAATATTTTATTTTTTACTAATAATTATTGATGAGTAGAAAGCTAAAAGGTTATTGTAACTTCGAAATTGTTTATTCATAATTAGTATGTCATTGTTCAAAGAATTATCCCCACAAAATAATTCACTAATAAGGATAAACAAAATAAATATGAAAATATGAAAAAGACTTTTAAATGACCATTCTTCCAAACATATTTTTACCACAATGTTATTTAAAAGAAAGGATCTTCTTTTTCTAGAAGGTGCTAAAAAAATCAAAGCCATAGACCCTTTATGACCAAGTCTCAATGTTGTTTTATTGGAGAAATTAAATGCATGCACCAATTTGATTTGACCATTGTGGTTTGAAAGCTCAGTTATTGGGGGACCATGCTAATTTGTTTAAAGGCATCAAAGTCTAAAAATGAAAAAAAAGAAAGATAAGACCAACATTCAAAATGGTGATACTAGCAAAATCTAGTAACTTACTGAATGAAAAATTAATATTTGATTTGTTCAACTATATATCATCAACAAGGTATTGACTAAAGATAGTCGGATGATAATAACGTAGGTTAGGTAGGAAATTAAATGCGAAGTTGTAACATATTTCATACCTTGCTTCTAGTGATCGAGGTGGTAGCATGACATGTTTGGAGTAGGGGTGGTCGTTGTTGCCCTACTCACTAGGTATTGCAAGATACATGATCAACTTGTTAGTTTGAGATTCTTTTTTTGATTTTTTTTCAAAGGTATAGACCAACTTATATCATGTCGTGTGATTATTTTCCTAAGCAACTATCTTGCCATGCCAAAGTTGGGAGAAGCTCCTAATCCAAGTTGAGAAAGTTATGAGGTGGCAAGTTTCCATGTGTACGTGTTGCTACACACATCTAGTCGAGATAGCTCAATTCCAACTTTGAAAGACGCATATTGGTTGAAAAAAGTCAGATTAAAATACTATTTAGATCTCTATACTTTCAACTTTAGTTCATTCTAGTCCATGTACTTTTTAAAATATTTATTTTAGTTTCTATTCGTAAAATTTTAGTATAAATTTTACACGAAACAATTTTTTTTTATATAAAGTCATAGTTATTATATTTCAAGAAATATATCAAGTGTAGTATCGTCTTCAAATTCGATAGAAAAAATGAGATTAAAAATAAAATTAAACAACCAAAATGATATTTTTAAAAAATCCAGAGACCAACAAACATCTTAAAAGTACATGGACTAAAATAAACACAAATTAAATTTACGTGAAGCAAAATTTGAAAGCACAAGGATGCCAAAATTTCGAATGCCACATGATTCTTTCAAAAGTAATCATCCCCTGTCGTGAACATTACAAGGAGTAACGAGGTTATTTTTCAAAATATCTTGTAACCATAGTTTTAAATATCTGTCGATACGTCGATATTTCCATCGACATGTCCACGTTTTTATGGGTTCGATATCGACATGAGGGGTAAATCGACATTTTTATTATAGTACAAAAAATCGACAAAATATAAAAAATATCAACAAAATATCACTAATATATACATAATATTAATATTGATTATTTTTAACTTATTTAGAAATAGAAAATATTTATTTATTAATTTAAATATTTTTTACGATTTTTTAATTTCTCTCATTTTTACAGAAATATCCATCGACATTGACATTTTATCGGTATTTTCATTGATATTTCCATGAAACTGAAACCTCGACATTTCATCGAGATCCACATTTAAAATCTTACTCGTAACTTATGCAACAAAAAAAAATAATAATAAAATAAAAAAACAGGTCATCAATCATAATAAACGAAGTATGGCTAATCGTTGAAAATCAAAGCAATGGAGGGGCCCTTAAAAAATGGCTCAAGTCAAAATTGTCTGATTACAGAAAATTTGAAATACATGCACCGATTTGACCCTTTAGCTCTATTAATTTAACAGAGGAAATAATAATAATCAAAATTTTCCTTTTAAGTTATTTTTTTAGTACAAATTTCATTTTAAGTTAACAATATAAAATTTGACTAAACTCTCCCAATCACTAAATATAGGTTTTTAGTCACTAATATTTAGTTGTTTTTCTAATTTAATCTTTATTGTTTAAAAATTTCAATTTAATCCTTTATATTTTAACCATTTACAATAGCGAGAATGGAGTTGGCATAAATTTAGATCAGAAATTAAGTCCACAGGAGATTTTTCTTTAGTTTCTTAGTCAAATTTAAGAACTTTATAGATATTTCAATATTTTCTTCTAAATTCTTCCTCTAAATTTCTATTAATTCACTAGGTATGATGGAGGATTCTACGTAAAAAAAGATCAAAGAACTTGAAGGTTGTTAATAAAAGTTCGTTTAATAACGTTCTCATTTCTAATTTTATTGAAAAACCTAAGCATTTGATAACTCCTTACCTTACTTATTTCTCATGTTTTTTATAACAATCTTAAAATTGTATAAAAATTTTGGAAATAACAAATACAACGTTTCTAATTTGTTTCATAACATAATAAAAAATTATTTTATCAATTTTCAATCTATATGTTTATGAACCCTGCAATTCGATTTTTTTTTATTTTGTTAAAAATGAGGGAAAAAAATGTGGAAAGAGAATATTATCAAACATGCCTAAGATATTCGACCTAAATATTAATATGGTAGCAACGAGCCTCCAACCCAGAAATAAAATCTAGAAAAAAACATGTTAAAGATTTTACGGACTACTCTTTTCATAGTTAATTGGACCCGAGACATCCCGACAAATGGGATAGGAACGGGGAAGAAAATTCAAATTTCAAGTCAAAATCTAACCCTTGTGCAGGTAGTCCTAGTCCGTGAGCCAAGATTTGTGTGTCGCCCACCATTTTTGACTTCACTCCATTCTTCTATTTGGCCCTCATCTTCAACTCTTTCTCCTCCAATCCAACCAAATTCCTTTGAAATTTTCCAACCTTTTTTTCTTGGATACCAAACAAACAACATTCTCTCTCATCTCTCTCTCTCTCTCTCTCTCTCTCCCCACAGTCAACCGTAATGAGTACGATAACTCTGTCCCAATTTGTTTCTTAAAGCCATTGACCAAATCCCCTCTCTTTCAAGCCAAAAGAAAACAACCAAAGCAAACAAGAAACGAAAAAAAGGTAAAAAAAGTGGAAACTTTGAGAAACCCCACAATTTCCCTTCTCCATTACACTTCATAAAAAGAACCAAAATAATAACGCATAGCAAATCGAGCCAAATCCCACCATCCGTATTGTATTATATAAAATTCCTAAAGCTTTTTGTTTTTTTTTTTCTTTCTGGGTATGAATTAATCAACAAGAAACTACTAATTAATCTCGATTTCACCAAGATTCAAGGATTAAACTAGAGGCCTCTGCAACTGATTGGGAGTGATTATGGTCGCCTTCATAAGTTACTATTAACATAGATGGATCATCCGAGGCTCTCTCCACGTGCTTTCTCGCTGGGCAACCTCTTAAACTGCTGCACTTATAGTAACCTCTGCAAAATTATGTCCTAATTACTCGTTAATCATCTCAAAACAATCCATTTTCACTCAACAAAATCGAATTTTTTTGGTTACCTTGGATATGGAGAGCCCTTGATTGGCTTCTGCCCGTACTTCCGCCATGAATAATCGTCCGGTGGAATGTCGGCGTTCTTCGAGCTTATGGCTGGCACTCTCACCACCCTCTTCACCCTCAATTTTCTGGTTTTTAAATCAAAATCGAAGATTTTAAAACATGGGTTAGAGAATTTGTGCGAAATTAGAGTTGCCCAGATCCATTGATGAAGCTTTAATTTAATTAGTTACCGTTTCTTGGAGCAGTGGCAGCGGCCGCCGGAGGATCCGCCGCACTTCCCGGAGGCGGGATTCTCAGAGGCGCACTTTCGCTTGAGAGGGGGCTTGGAGACGGAAGAGACACGGGAGAGATCGGTGATCTGGAAAGAACCGGAGGAGGGCTGCGGCGGCGGGTAGTGGTGGTGGTGGTCGGCGGCGGAGGAGTAGGAGAAATTAATGGTGGTGGCCGAATCGAGCCGCTCCGGCGGAGGAATCTGCTGAATGGGGGTGGCGTAGTAGACCTTGGAATCGGAATTAGATGGCGGCGGCGGTGGAGGAGGAGGAGAGGAATCGAGAGGGGCACGGCGGAAGCGGGCGTGGCCGGTTCGGGTAGTCGCCGGCCGGCCGAGCAGGGAAATGACCTTCTTGAAGTGGGAGACGGCGGCGTTTGCGACGGCTTCGCACTCCATCTCCGGGGATGAGTGGGAGAGGCATTTGATGAGCTTTTTGAGGGTTTCAAGGCCGGAGGCGGCTTCTTGGACGGCGGTGTCTTCCATGGCGGCGGTGGCGGTGGTGGTGCAGCCGAGGAGGAGCTCCACCGCCATAAAGGGAGGAGAAAAAATAGAAAATGGAAGGAATTGTGAAATAGAAGAGGATCCAATCTAATTATGCCATAAACATTAATATAAACAAAAGAAAGAAAGAAGAAAACAAAAGTGTTGAAAACAGATCACTCTGAAACTGATCCTCTCTGTCTTGTCTTCTCATTGACCATTGCTCCTCTCGTGGGCCCTTTTTCCAAAAACTTTAACCTTTGTTTTACATTGCATCGCTATATATATATTTTTTTGTTTAAGATAAGTTTTCTTTTTGAGTTTAATCCTCTAAGATATTTAATTTAATTTTCTTCTAAAGATATCACGGTGAAAATTAAGTTACAAATGGAATGATGAGATATGTTAAAACCTTATCAGCCTTGTAACCAGATGCAACATAGCAATTCGTTGGTAGACTTTATCTATGGTCGAGAGCTCGATCGAAGATTATCCTACCAAGAAGTAGCACGAATATAAACATCACTATCAACAAAATAAAAATAATAGAGGCCGAATGAGATGTATCTCATGTGGTGTCTAATAAATTTTTTACATCCTTAAACTTTTAATGTTGTATTTAATATGTTTATGTATTTAAAATGTGTCTAACAAGTCATTAAAAGATCTATTAAATACAAACAGCATGGAGAATAAATTTATAATTTGACATCTATTTTTATTTTTAATTAAATCTTGCTTTTAAAAAAAATTGTTAGCTCTACTTTTGATATTTTATACTTAAATTTTACGTTTACAATTTTTTACAATGAAATGTTACAAATTAACCTTTTTAACATCTATTTGTACTTTCTTATGATATCTTGTCGTCAGATACTAGTAACATTTTTAATATCTTAAGTATGGTCAAGTTACATTTTAAAATGGACGTTTTTAGTCTTTAGAATGGGTCGGAAAAGTTCTAATAGTGACTTGTTAACCCTTATACTCCCTTTACTAATTTTTTATATAGGATCTAATCTTTCATTTAATTTTAATGGATGAGAATATCATACATTTTAGTTTTAAATGATATATTTTAAGTGCCAATATTAACATAACTTAGTGGTTATGATACTTTACTATTTTTTTAGGTTAAAAGTTCAACTTCTCATTCCCACATTTATAATTATTTGACGTGCATTTGAACTGTTTATTTAGATTTAATTATATATTTTATATTTAAAATACAAGGGCTGATTTTAAATTTAGATCTGATCTACTCATTAGAAATTAAAAATGGAGTAGGTTTAAGTTTTTTAACCTATTTTATAGGTTTAATAAGTCTCAAGACTTTATTTCTATGTTTTTCTTTTAAAAAAATGGGAAATAAGAAAGACATTATTTCTATTGTAGCAATAAGTCTACAACATTGTGAGGCTATCCTTGAAAATTATAATGATAAAATTTTAATGTAGAAAGATAATTATTAATAATCATTGTCCCGCAATAAACTGTATTTTATCTTTTTTATTTCTTTTTTAAAATACTATTATACTTTTTAGTTCAACGACATGGCGAGCGAAGTTTTTAATCTCTAATCCTTTCGTCGAAAATATATGTCTTAATAAGTTGATAAACTATATGTTACTTATCTGTAATTTCTAATAATGTTTTATTTTCAATTATACAATCTCCTATTTTCTTATATTCATCATCTTTTTTCAATTTATCTCTCTTTTTTTTCTACCTACCTTAATCATCACTATCTTTCCATTTAGGAGAAAGAGTTTAAAAAATCATTCTTCTAAATTTGTTATAAAAGTGTTTATAAAAAAGAGTTATAAAAGTGTCTTAAATATTAATCCACGTTAGGTTTTCTCCAAACCCATTTGCCCAAAATGTCAAAAGAAAAGAAAAAGTTAAACTTTGATTGAAACTAGTATTGCTTCATTGAAGGTTGATAAATTAAGGAAAATGTTCTTATCGAAGATGAAAGCTCAGCTCAACAAAAATTAATTAATATCTTTTTTTATTAAAGGAAAATTAGGAGCATAACACAATTAAAGCAATATAATGATTAAGAAATGACAAACTGATTATAGTAATGCAAAATACGTAAAGGAGTGGTTCACTTGGAATATTGTATTATTATCTCTAACATCTTGAAATATAATATTACCTTGGTCACTCTACAACGTTGTTTGCAATAAAACATTTTATCCTTCAAAGTTAAATCCATAGACATTTATATATGTTGAGACAAATTGATAGAGCTCGGATATGAATTATATATGTAGGAGTGTATATAAGCATGTCAAGTTTCGAAAGAAGAAAAAAAAATATGTGAATTATATATGTAGGAGCATATAAGCGTATAGTCTCGAAAGAAGAGAAACTAAATAAGATTAGAACTAAGAATCAAATATATTCCAAAGGAGACCAAAAAAAAAAGAACTTTACTCATGGAGGATACGAATGAGTTTGAGGATGATTTTATACTACAATTGGATAGAGAATGTGTAACTTTTGCTAAGAACATATCAATTTAAGGAAAATAAACACAAACTTTGAAACCAAAAGATTTTAAAACTGAACCAATACAAATGGATCGAAATTGAAAAGATCTACCCAAGAATTTATACTGTGAAGTCCGAGTAGAGAGGAGGGGTATATGAATGAACCGATACCGCATCCGAATGAGAGGGATCCTGAGATCATGAAAGAATGGTCAAGAAAGGCTTAAAAGAAATGATAGTCACCACCTATATTAACATGACTTGAACCAATATTCGGTTGGGTGACCTTCTAGTTGCTTTACTAAGAAGCATGTGAGTGAGGACAAAGCATGTTGAAAAGACTCGTGTTAGTCTATAGGAATAGTCTACGCTCTTCTAAGTAGCTCAAAACTAGACGTTGGCACATCCAGATCGCAGGGGATGCAGGGGAATGTTGAGTCAAACAAATGTCGAATCTTGTTCGAATCCTGGACCTGGGACGTTACATATACTTTAGAAAAGCTAACCAATCAACAAGAATATAGTTCATACTTCAATCAATATTTGTCAATTTCAATGACTTGTACTCTAAAATCATGAAATATTGGATCAAAGAACCATCAAATTAAAATTCTAAAATTTAATATGTATTCAAATATAATACTAAATTTGACTAATTTGTCGTGATTATTTAAGAATATTATGTTAAAAGTAGATTCAAATCTATGACCAAAAACAAAATACATGTTAAAAAATTAATATGAGCTTTAATGGAAAAAATAGATAAATGTAGTAATATTAAATTTGGAATTGAATATGGGAGAGAAATAGCATGAACATAACTTAGAAGATAGGACATTTGAGTATGATTAGGTCAAAAGATTGGACTTTTCCAATCGTCTCATCTACGGCAAAGCAAAAATAATTGTAATTGCAAATCAAAATAATAATAATAATAATAATAATTATTATTATTATTATTATTATTGTAATTTAAAAGGAAAAAGGAAAAAATAATTGTAGAATTAGGTTAAGCCTAAGCCAAGCCAGCATAATGGAGTTCGACTTTCATCTCTGTTTGGGGAAGAGAATACCCTGGACACATGGAGGACCCCTATTGGTGCTCCAAGATGACTCATGAGTCATGTCCAGCTCGGACGGCCGAGATCACCACCACTAGCGTTGACAGATGCTAAGTATGAGGGCCGAGGTGAACCTGGCCGAGGTCCGACCTACCGGGAAGCTCGGTGGGGGCCGATGTGAGCTACTGTCAGCGGCGTAATTATCGGGTATAATCGACGGTCCCGAGATTACCGGGTGTAACCGACGGTCCCGAGATTACCGGATGTAACCGTCGCGAGATTAGCGGGACTACCACCCATAAGTAGAGGACCTCACTCCGCGATCAGGTACGATAATTTCTGACCTCGAACTAAACTGGGAATCCGACCTATACTGACTTGATCGTCGGAGTGCTCACCTTTTTGTGCAGGTCCGCCCAAGTATTCAGATC